GTGATGTATGTATGTATGTATGGAAGTAAGTAAATATGTATGTATGTCCGTATGTACATATGCATGTATGTATGTATGCATGTACGTACGTACGTACATTTGTATGTATGCATGTGCGTATGTATGTGTGTATGTAAACATGCATGTGTGTATATATATAGAAACATATACATATCGATATGTATATATTTAGAATATGTATATAAATAAATATTTATATACATGAATATATATAATATATATAAATATATACATATAAACATATATAAAATATATATCATATATATAAATATATACAAGTATATATATATATATATATATATATATATATATATATATATATATATATATATATATATATATATATATATATATATACATGTATTAATATATATATATATATATATATATATATATATATATATATATATATATATATATATATGCATATATATATATATATATATATATATATATATATATATATATATATATATATATATATAAGCATATATAAAAAAATATATATAAAAAATATATAAAAATATATATAAACATATATATAATTATATACATATAGATATATATACAAATATATATAAATATATATATACAAATATATATAAATATATATATATATATATATATATATATATATATATATATATATATATATATATATATACATATACATAAATATATAAATATACATAAATATATATAAATAGAGATAGGTGTATTTGTAAAAAAAAATATATATGTATATATATATATATATATATATATATATATATATATATATATATATATATATATTTATATAAATATATATATTAATGCATATATATACACATATTTATACAAATATATATGTATATATATACACATATATATATATATGCACATATATATATATAATTATATATAAACATATATATATAAAAGCATTACTTATATATTCATATACATATACATATATTTATTTATGTAATATATATATATATATATATATATATATATATATATATATATATATATATATGTATATATCTATGCATACATATATCCATATATATATTTATATATAAGTATTTATATATATTTTTATATATTTACAGGCTACATATTTATACACACACACATATTGATATAAACATATATATGAATATATATATATACATATTCATATACATGTGTATGCATGTGTATGTATATACATATATATATACATATATATATATATATACATATACATATAGATATATACATATATAGATACATATATATATATATATATATACTGTAATAATAATGGTTGAATAATTGGCAATAAGGGTTGAATTAGCGTGTTCAAAGGTCCTGTTGGAATCGGCTGAGGATAGTGGAATTACTGTGAGATAAAGAACACATGGCTTTTCTGGTTTGTGAGACGAGAGAGATTACGAGAACAGGCCACTTGATCGCTCGGCCACCGAAAAAGAATCGTCCTCGAGTCTGGGGTAGACGATGCAGGCGGATGACAGGAGACAGGTGACGGAGGCAAGTGACACAGGGAGTCTCGTATCTGGCAGATGACCAGGAGGGAAGGTCGCACAGGTGACTTCTAAGGTCACAGAGCTCGGCAATCGTTCCACAGGATTGCTTGAAGACAGTTAACTTGTGAAGTGCCGTGTCAGTCATAAGTGACACGCCCACCGGTCTAGATTATTCTGGACCAAGTCGATGGCGAGGAGGCGAGGATTTGGCGGAGAATCGTGAGAACGAGGTCTTTGATGGATCAGGATCACGTCGTTGGCGGGAAGGATTCGTCATCTCGCGAGAAGAACAGCACCATGGTGATGGCGTCACGAGCTCGACAGGCAAGGTTCGACCATTTTTGCCAGGGTTACCAGCACAGGACAGCAGGTGTGGTGAGTGAGACGAGATGCGGCGAGGACGTCAGGAGGCAGTCACCAGCGGAAGAGGCGGCGGACGCGATCGGAGTTGCAGCGACGTGCAGAAGAGAACGGAAGGGCGTCGGCAGGTGATGCGAGAGCGAGAACGTCTGCGAGATGGGCTCGTCAACGGGGTGAGCGAGATTTGGTGCGCCAGGGATCGGCGGCGAGGGCAGCGGCGTGGTGATCCGAGAGTCAAGGTCAGCAGTGGGCTTCAGCACTGGACGTCTGTTTCTGAGGACAACAAACGAGAGCAACAGTACCATGTCTTGGCGACAGAAGATGTAATGCCATATCTCAGGGAGTTACAATATCAACACGAACTCGTAATGATTAGGAAATGACTGGAAGCAACGTGTCAGGGATTCGGAATAGGGTGTTAATTGCATCATTCACCTGAGTGACAGAAGGCAGTAGTGAACTATCGAGAGTGTAGGATAAAATTTCGAAGGAATTATGAGTTTACAGAGTCATGCAAAGTGCAGGAATGATTCTCCACGAAATAATATGCAGAATTCATGTGCAAGGATACAGGTCAACAGATATTCAAATGAAAAATGTCGGTAGATAGATCATAGAATATATTTAATATATTTCCTTCAGGGAAATGAGAGAAGCTGCATGCGAAAATGCAGGATTAATGGGCAGTTGATTAAGACTAATAGCATGTTAGGAAGCAGGAATGATTTTTCCTACGAAGGTAATTATTCTAAATATACAAACAAACGCAGGAAAGATTTTCCTGTGAAATAGTTCATAACGAATGAACTGGAACTCAGCATCGTGTAGATTCGGAAACCATCACGACGTAAATTAACATGAAAACAAATTTAGTACTCATAAGTAGACAGAACTACAGAGGAATTAGAGTACCAAGAGGCGCAATCTCGTTTTCTATGAGGGGAAGAACACAGGTGTTCGCGAGAAAGAGAGGAAATCGGACACTTCACTTCACAGGGGATTTCCTAAACAAATGAGGATAAAGAAACTCACCGGCGTCAGGCAACTGCAGCAAGTGTTGAAGACTGCGGCAGCTGTTGAAGTACTGTGCGCTGAGGGAGGAGCGACGCCAGCTCTGCAGGGAAGACTGCTTGATCTCGGGAAATCGCAGATGTATCGTGGGATAGAGTCTTGCAGTAACAGAAGTCGATAAAGGTGTCTCCGCTTGAAGGAGTCGATAGATTTTCTTCAGAGTGGCTTGTATGGTGTGGTTTCTTCGGAGGGCTCGTGTGGTGCGTTATCTTCGGAGGGTTCGTGTGGTGCGTTATCCCAGAGCGGTGCCACCAATGTAATATAGGTGGTGGACTTATCCCACCCCGCCTGTTTAATAACAGTGGTGGACTTATAATTCTGTGATGTTACTAGTGTAATAACAGGTGGATGCTTTGTCTCTCTGTATGGTACTGGTGTTTGCTTCTTGGAGTGAAAGTGGAGTTGTAGTTTTATAGTTTATTGCTGCGGGAGTATGGTAGGTGGGATACAGACAAGGCAGGGGCGCCCAGGGAAGAGCGGGGCGACCTGCCCGGCCCGCTGTGGCGAGCGGTCTGTCTGGACTGCTCAGAAATTTCTATCAACAAACTTCGTTTTGGAGCATTTCATAATGGAAAACATGAAAGAATTTGATTGAGCATAAATTCCAGTACATATGGTAACATGGTGGTTTCGTGGTGAACGAATAAGGGTACCTTATATACAGTTGCATGTAAGATCTAAATCTAAAAAGCTTCGTGATTAGGGGACAAAAAATTCTGAGTATTCATAAAACATAAAGACATTTGAATATCGACAATGATAAGGGTAACATACTTAGTGATTCAGAATAAGCATTTTCTGCCGAACATTTTGAGTATAAACAAGACATAGTAATACAAAGAGACAACAGAATGACAGCATGGGAATTGTTCACGAGCAATAAGGATTGAATTAGCGTGTTCAAAGGTCCTGTTGGAGTCGGCTGAGGGTAGTGGAATTACTGTGAGATAAAGAACACATGGCTTTTCTGGTTTGTGAGACAAGAGAGATCACGAGAACAGGTCACTAGATATACATCTATACATATATATGATTATGTATATATACATATAAATATATAAACATATATTTATATGTATATATACATATATATACATATACACATATATATATTATATATACACAAATATGTATTTCATATATACAAATATATATTCTATATATATATTTATATTTAAATATTTTATATATATACGTACATATATATATATAATATATATCCATACACAGATTTTATATACATACCTACATATATATTTATATACATATATATACAAACTTATATATATACTTACATATTTGAATGTGTTTATGTATATATACATACACATATACGTATGTGTGTATACATACATACATAGAAATGCATATATATATACACATCCTTATAAATACACATATACATGTATATATATATATCTTCATATACAAATATACAAGTGCCATATATATATACATATATATGTATGCATATATATACATATATATACACATATATGTGTATGTACAAACACACACGTGTATGTATATATACACATTATATGTATATGTATATACATATATATATACATATATATATATATATATATATATATATGTGTGTGTGTGTGTGTGTGTGTGTGTGTGTGTGTGTGTGTGTGTGTGTGTGTGTGTGTGTGTGCATGTACATGTATATGTATATATACATGTTTATATATATATATATATATATATATATATATATATATATAAAAACTTATATATACATATTTGTAATTGTTTATAATTCTAGTTCTAAGACTAACTTCTACAAGGAGCCGGGCTAAAATCAAAGATACCCAAAGACAAAAGAATTAGGTTTCTAATCTATTTATTCTTAAAAATAATGTAAATACTATGTTCGTTATGTTTAGTTTTGTATTGTTATATATTCTTTATCTGTTCAATTTAGGACGCAGCAAGGCTCGTGTAAAGTTAAACGCGTGAGGGTAACTATGTTCGCAAATTAATCGGCACCGATTAAACAACTTAAACAGCAATTTGTACCCTACTCAC